AATCAGAATATTATCCACATTATACCTTTTTTAAATTTGTGTTCACACTCCTGTCAGGAAAGCTAAAAATGTTTGTAAATATTAACTTATTTTAAATTGCCAGAAACACATCAGAATATGTCACAACCACAACTATAGGTTTGGAATCAGTACTAAATTTTATATCTAGTAAGTGATGCGTCAACTAACAAGTATAGGATAAAAAATAATTATTAATATAGAATGTACTATACAATGTCCTTCTGCTTATTTTTGAAATGACTTTGCTTTAAAATGTGAGGAATACCAGTAAAATAAAACATAATTTTTGGTTTGGTTTGGTGTTTGATATTCTAACTACATCTATTACCAACCTTAAGTGCTTTTAGTGAGTAACTGTTTTTTTATTGTTCTTTGTGTATCCTGTAAAGTAAAAAAATATATATTTCAAGAAATATAAAAACAATGCAATAGACATCAAACAGATTCATAAAAACTACACTTGCAAATTTTTGTACATAAAAGTTGTACATATTATATATTTCAAGTGTTATTTGATCTTTGGTCCCATTACCAACATTACCTTATTTAGGTCTTCTCTACCAAACTCAACTTTTCAACCTGTTTAAAACCTTCTGTATATTTTAAAACTGATTTACAACAATCTGTAATGCCCGCGCTGTTTCCTAAAATATAAGTTTTAATCTATTTACTATCATAATATATATATGACAAACCTGAAAATTACTGATACGAGGAACCTTCTCAAAATAATTAGAGACCTTTTTACAAACATCTGGACTAATTTGTTTTCACGAATTTGTGGACGAATCAATGCTTTCTAATACGTTTTTAAGCGTTTTACACATTTTGAATATCTTCCAGCCTATTCCTCAGTTCTTGATCGGTGAAAAGATTATTTATAACTATATAATTAATACTGCAGGCTGCAGGTTAAATAAAAGAACAAAATCAAGTAGAATTTGTAAATAAAAACTCAAAAAATAATGAAAATATTTAGAAAAAGGAACCGTAAACGTCATGTCAGCCAAGTGTCAGAGTTCAATTGGATTTACCACAGATTATCATTTATTTGAACGATTTGAACTACAGTCGATTCCAGTCTAGAGATTTTTGTTTTTAGCCTCCCATACTGAAGTCCGCCATATTGGGAAGTTTTAAATGAATACAAGTATACTCTATACTAAAGTAGATATTTTATAGGCATAATAAGCAACGTTAACATTAAAAGCTGAAATGGGAACATACAAAACAAATGCATACGCATACAAATTAAGACGTTTTCCATAAAAATACCGCTGGGGAATGTTTTCGAACGAAAACAGACGAAACCAACATATAAAATTAGCCGAGATGAAACATGCTAGTCCGGGCACGTATTTTAGTAAAATTTCATTAAGCCCCCGAGAAAGAAGGCATCAAAGCGAATCACTACCGGAAAACACGTCCGTTTAAATCCGTAGTAGCATAATGTCTAGTGTTTAAATCTGTATAGTTAAAATTGATCGAAATGTCGATTCGGATGTATTTTGTTTACGCGTTCTTCCTTCCAAACAGCGTCTTTTAATTTTACACAGCTGTCTCTGGTAAATCAGAAAAAATCTATACTATTACATAAAATCCTTAAGTGACTGACTCACTGATTAATCACGATCCTGCTCAAGCCACTCAACGTAAGAAGCTCAATTTTGGCATACAGGTTGATTCTAGGGTGTAGAGGTTCGATAAGAAGGGATTTTTCGAAATTCCAGTTCCAAGAGGGTGAAACCACCCCTCAAATATTACAATAGTTTTTTATTAAAAAACGGTCAAGTTTCCGAAAAAACGCTTAAACGCGTATATTTTATTTTGTTTTTTTACATATTTTAAGATTTTTTTAAAATGTATACAGGGTATTTCGAAAAATCTGTTCATTGATTAATCACGATCCTGCTTAAAGCGCTTGACGTAAAAAGCTGATTTTTCGAAAACAGATTGACTTTAGGGTGTAGAGTTTCGATAAGAACAGATTTTTCGAAACTCGATTTCTAAGGGGGTAAAACTATCCGTCAAATATTAAAATATTTTTTTTGTTTAAAAACCGGTAAGTTTTTTGGAAAAACTCTTAAACTCGAATATTTTATTTTGTTGTTTTACATATTTTAAGATTTTTTATAAATTTATACAGGGTGTTTCATAAAATATGACCATTGAGTAATCACGATTCTGCTTAAACAGCTTGACGTTTAAAGCTGATTTTTGCCAAACGGATTTACTGTGGGGTGTAGAAGTTCGATAAGGAGGGGTTTCTCGAATCTCAAATTTCAGGAGGGTGAAAACGCCCTTCACATATTACAATATTTGTTATTTAAAAAACGGTTTGTCTTTCGGGAAAACGCTTGGACACTCATAATTTATTTTGTTTTTTACATATTTTACATTTTTACATATTTTACATGTTTTACACGAACAGCAGAGGCTCAGATGGGCACCAAAACTGTAGCTGTTAAAACAACGCAAGGAAGTCCACAAGGTGGAGTAACCTCCCCTTTGCTGTGGAGCTTGGTGGTGGATGAACTACTAGATGAATTAACTCTAGCGGGAATACACTGCATTGGGTATGCAGATGACATAGTCATGATCGCTCGGGGGAAACATGAAGGCACCTTGTGTGATATTATCCAAAGAGGACTCCGTATCACTGAAAGATGGTGTAGGACTGTCGGGCTGAGTATCAACTCAGACAAAACCGAAGCGAAGTCTGAAAAACTTGAAAAGAATCCAACTAGATGGAAAGGAAATACTGCCAACACAGGAAGTTAAATACCTGGGAATAACCCTGGACAGTAAACTCCTGTGGAACAGGCATATTAAGAACACTACCAGCAAAGCCATAAAGGCTCTCATGATATGCAGAAGACTGGCCGGAAATAGATGGGGCTGCTTCCCTAACATTTTGCGCTGGATGTATACCATGATAGTAAGACCCATGATTACTTATGGAGCAGTTGCCTGGTACACAAAACTAGAGCAACGGACGGCAAGGCTAAACCTATGCAAAGTCCAGAGACTAACATGCGTTTGCATCACAGGAGCCATGAGAACCTGTCCAACAGCAGCAATGGAGGTCATTCTAGATCTAACACCACTGCACATTGTCATTGGTAGATATGCCAATGCGACATTGATTAGAATGGTCACTAACGGAATTAGTACTGGGAGAATTGTCAGATCAGGGGCTTGGAACACCCTCATAAAGGAAATACCACTCCTGCAACTCCCAGTGGACGATATGCTAAGAACGTACAACTTTGAGAAACATCTCCATGTAGTATTGAGCAATAAAAAGGATTGGAAGAGCGAAACGCTTGCCCAGCAGTTAAAAGACCATACCATAACTTGGTATACTGATGCTTCCAAAACCAATACGGGAACAGGGATCGGAGTGTTTGGGCCGAGAGCTAAATACTCCGAACCAATCGGCACTTACCCTAGTATCCTACAGGCAGAAATCTACGCTATCGAAAGATGCATACAACTTATCTTAGATAGGAACTATCGGAAACAAGAAATAGCCACCTTGTCTGATAGTCAAGCAGCGTTAAAAGCGATCAACTCAGTATCAATCCATTCGAAATTGGTCAAAGAATGCATAGAGAAGCTGAATAAATTAGGCAAAGAAAACAAAGTCCTCCTACACTGGGTGCCTGCTCACCAAGGGATAGAAGGCAATGAAAAGCAAATAATCTAGCTAGGAAAGGAGCGAACACTCCACTAACTGGACCAGAACCGTTCTGCTTTCCAAGTGGTAACCAACTCAAGGCGGAACTCAAGAACTTGGAAGATTCCATCCGCAACCTGGAATGGAAATCTTGCAATGGTCTAAGACACTCGAAGAAGTTTCTGAGGGCTTATGATCAAGAAAAATCACAGATCTTCCTGGGTCTGAGTAAGAACATTCTTCGGATTGTCACGGGGTTTTTAACAGGACACTGTCTCCTCAATGAACACCTCAGTAGATTGAAACTAAGAAGAAACGGCGAATGCAGATTCTGTGGGGAAGATGGGGAAACACCAGTGCACCTCATCACTGAGTGTGCCGGGACGGCGACCGTTCGTGCCGTGAATTTTGGTACGGCTGATGTTGGAGATGGAGAGCTACCCTCTATAAAACCATCCCAGATACTGGCTTTTGTCAAAGCCCTGGGACTGTATGATGAGTTATGATTCAAGAAAGGGGGACACAATGGATCTGTAAGGTCGAAGTGATTAACCCCCCTCCCACTCATTCTAAATTCTAAAATTCTAAAAGTTCGATAAGGAGGGGTTTCTCGAATCTCAAATTTCAGGAGGGTGAAAACGCCCTTCAAATATTACAATATTTGTTATTTAAAAAACGGTTTGTCTTTCGGGAAAACGCTTGGACACTCATAATTTATTTTGTTTTTTACATATTTTGAAATTTTTTAAAAAATCATACAGGGTGTTCCAAAAAGTTGGGCAATTGATTAACCACGATTCTGCTTAAACTCCTTGACGTAAAAAGCTTATTTTTGGCAAACGAATTTTTTGAAAGTCAAATTCCAACGAGATGAAACTACCCCTCACATATTACCAAGTTATATAATAATATCGCCATATTGTTTTTTCTCATGCTGACATAAATGTGAGAAAATTTTATCCAGTTTGTATGTTAATGGAAATTCTTGCTTTGCTTTATCATCACCATTACAAATGATTAATTCGACGCGAACGAAGTCTCGGGTACACGCTAGTCTTTTATAAAAGACTTAAATCTTTTTAACGACTTCAGTCTTTTCTAAAAAGACTTAAATCTTTTTCTGTTTCGGAATAAAGTTTTAAATCACAAGTCGTTTTGAAAAAGACTGAAATTTGAAGTCTTAAGTCTGCTTTCGAGAAATGACTTAAGTTATGAAAATGATTGAAATCAAAAAAAGTCTTTTTTCTGTGACTTTACTGCTCTGACACATACAAATGTTTATTTGACTTTTTCCTTCCAGGTTATGGTTGCAACGTTGCCGGCTTTTTAACCATTTTTGGCAACGTTTTGTCTGTTTACACTTTGGCAGTCATCACCCTGGAAAGATGGTAAGAAATTCTTTAAATCTCACTGCACTTTATATCTTTTATAGCCGGTTTTAAAAACATTTATTTGGTAAGCAATAAAAATGCTTTTAGAAAATTCTATTTTGCATAGTAAGGCCCTAAATTTAGAGAAAACCAGTGAGCTTATTTATAATCCATTTTATATTATAACGATTTGAATAATTTGAGTAGTTATAAAGTCCGTCTTTTATTTTTATAGTTGAATACGAGAAATAAATATTTTTTTAAGTTTTTATTAAAAAAAAAGGATTTTTACTTTAAAAAAATGTTATGATCAATAAAAAACGACGTCAGGACGGCTGCGGAATGACAATAGAAGATAATTTTAGCAAAGTCGCTTTTACTCAAAAATAAATTACAGCCCTCTTAAGGTCAACTGGCTGTAATCGCCGTTGAAAGATAAGGCTAGAGCTTGACCCCGTCAAAATTATTATCTATTTTCATTCGACAGCCGTCTTCGACGCCGTTTTTTTTTCAATAGTGTGGTATTTCAAATGTTATGTTTTTTTCTTTAGGTGTACTATCACATGGGCTGCTCATCTGAACAAGCGGCTCAAACTGCGCACATCGGTGAAAATAATGATCATAGGATGGATCTGCGCGTTGTTTATGGCATTTTTACCCCTCGAAGGCATCAGCAGCTACTCCAGGACCAGCATTTGTTTGCCTCTGGAATACAAAGACTACCTGGATGCTTTTTATCTAGCTACGTTGCTCACATTTAATTGTACAGCATTCACGTTGATTTGCGTTTGTTATGGAAGCATGTATAAGACTATTAGAGAAGGTAAAATTGTTTTATTAATTCTATTAAGAGTAGTAAAGACTAGTATTTGAGATTGTTTAGATCGTAACTAAAAATCACAGTGATAACATTAACTAAAGGAACTACTAAAATTACCATTCATTCGAATTCGTTCAATGGAGACTACTGCACGATCTCACGGGAAACTGTTGGTACCAACAAGTTCATGTGATTATAATCTAAACCGTTGTTTCTTGCGCACAGAAGTTCAGGAGCTGGTCTTGTGAAATTTATACTGCGGGCCATAATTTTTGAACCAATAAAGAATCGGGGACAATATTTTCGATATGACAATACTAAATAAATTTCCTTTAACTAAAAAATACAACATTTTCCCTAGCAAAGAAAGTTATAGCGATTTGTTAAAAATGCATATTTTTGAAAAACACCTCGTAACTCCCAAAACGGTAGTAAATACTGATGTGCGGTTTGTACCATCATGTTTTTAATAAAAAAAATGAGCTCAGCCACCGATATTAACTTTCGTCTACCTCCTATAGAAAGGGGCGTTTCCCTTTGTAACAGTTTCAACTGTTATTTAGAAATAACAGTTTAATTGTTATCCAGAAATATCACCTGAAACAGTTATTTAGAAATAAGAGCTGAATTATTATTCAGAAATAACACTTGGAATTGTTATTTAGAAATAAGAGTTATACTGTTTTCCAGAAATAACATTTGAGACTGATATTTCGAAATAACTGTTTCAAACTGTTAAAACTGTGAAAAATAACTCTTGTAACTGTTATTTATTAGGAATTACAGTTGAAACTAGCCCATATAGCACATCAAATCACATTTACGATGTGTTTACATTATTAGATGTAGACACAGGGTGACACAATTCCCCCGATGTAAATATGCTACGTTTACACATTGTAGTTCAACACGTATGCACAAAGGTTAAACGTCCGCCTCACAATGTAGCCACAGTATAGAATTTACGTATACACAAAGTAAGGGATACACAGAGTGCCGTAGGATACAAAGTGCTTGTGTATTACGTTTAAACTCTGTTTACACATTGCAGTTGTGACTACTGCGTGTATACGTGTGTATTTTGCTTCGTATATACATTTTGTGCTAGATAAAACTACTTCTTATGAACGAATTTAGGAAATAATACAAGTTTTGATGCCTAACTTTTCGTTCTTTTTAAGAAATATTTATTCAATGATACCAATTATATCTTTTTAGAACGAAAATTAGGAAGGCAAAACTTTGTATTTTCCCAAAAGTATCTCGATCGTAAGTTCAAGAGAAGTAGCCTTAAAATTGTTCCATTTTTGTTTTGTATTAAATGTACCATTTTTTTCCATAAAATGGATTAAGTGGTTAAAAATAAAATTCTTATATTTCTTTATATCATGGAACGCAATAGCGCAAAAAACACAATAATAATAATTATTTACACTGCAGAAACCAGAAGTAAGAAAACACTGTAAAAGAACAGAATTTGTATCAAAATGTATTAAAAATATAAGTACTTAGTATAACGATATACTAAAATGGTAAGCACTGGTATATCGCCACGATTTGGTGGACCTCGTTTAGTCATTTTTTTCTCTTCTTTTCCCTCCAAGGAGTTGGTTTGTTAGCATACTCATTCATCGAGATTAACAATCTCAGATTGACAATCTCACCCTTAAATTTTATATGAAACTGATTATTGATATTAAACATACCTATATATTGATCCATCAATAACTTACCGAATATCAGTGTAAGAAGTTCTTTGAAGTATTTAAATCTTTCTTTCTCTGGTCCATTTAGATTTTTATTATTTCCAAATTAAAATAAAAATTATATTGCAGAGCTAACCTTTTTATCATTATACGAGAATATTTGAGTTTTCATTCATTGTAGTCAAAATTTGGTAAATTGGGTATCGAGGAAGGGAAGAGTCACTGCTATAATATTAATAATACTCTTAGGAAGGTGTAACAAGGTAATTAAAAACTTGTGCTTACCTTAAAATCTCTTTTAAACTATACACAAACAGAACATTTATATAGAGCTTCCGAATGATAAAACAATAATGGCTGCTAACACATACCACTCCTAGAAAGGAGAAAGGAGAGAGAACACATAAGATACACTTGGTCGGTGTATCTACGCTGAGGCTATCCGCGCGTGCGCACACCTTCATTTCATACTAGAATGTAGACACAACAGTACACTATTACAAAGTGTCTATATAGAAATTTATATTATGTGTATACGTCACATTTTTACAAGGTGTGTACTATAGGCACAACTATGATACGAAGTATCACACATACATATGACATATACATTGTATGTCTCATATACCGACGTCAGATTTCATCATTTTAATAATTATTTGTTACGTTACAAAAAACTCTTTAGAATCTTGAGTGCATACGGTATACAAGTAGTAAACACTGTATCACACAATTATATCAATATAAACCTGCGTGTATCTCATATGTATATGTTAGAACTAGATGAACACTTGGTTCACTTTAACATATTTGGTTTCTCATGTGTCTCCCTTGTAGAAACGTAATTTCATTTGGACGTGCTGTATGGGAGTATTCATAAATAAACAATTAAAAATTATTCCTTTTAAAGTGTCCAATTTGACCCACTCTGTACAGTTCAAATCTCTCAGATATCGTTGTGTGTAGGGCTCTTATAAATTAAAACTTAGCCATGATGTATTTTAATATTTGGAGATTTTTGAATGTACAGAAAATGTATTTATAACCTTTTTTATTGAATTTTTCAGGTGGAAAAACTGGCATAGCCAACTCAGTCCGCAACGATCACACTGTAGCCAAAAAGATGGCGCTTTTAGTGTTCACAGACTTTGCCTGTCTCTCCCCCATAGCCTTCTTCGGCATCACAGCCCTTCTAGGCTACCCCCTCATCACAGTCACGCAAACTAAGATCCTGCTTGTCTTCATTTATCCCTTAAACTCATGCGCTAACCCTTGTCTGTATGCCATACTCACACAACAGTACAGAAAGGACTTCTTCATTCTGATGGGAAGGTTGGGAATGTGCAAGGAACACGCTAACTACAACAGGGGAGCTATTAGAGGTAAATTGTTAGTAAAATAAGGTACTAGTTTATTTCTTTCTCCATACGTCTATGTCTCTGATAGCATTATACTCTACTATATTTATTCTTCAAAGGTAAACCTTTGCCGTACACTGCTAATTTCAAGAGGCCTCACGGCGTGAGCAGGACCATCAGTAAGTCCAGCGGTACTATCTGTACGGCCAATACGAATGTCAACGTGGAGATTCCACTGAACAGTTGTACCAGAGTGGTGGAGAACGGTTGCAGAAGGAGTGAGTTCAGAACTACGAACAATCTTTAACTGGAGGAGTTTTTAGAGTTTATTTTTTAGGTTGTGTACCTGTATATAAAGTACAAAATGCTGTAGGCATTCGATAATGTTACTAGAAACGTTAATAACCTAAAAACGTCCCACCTCAATTTACTCAACTAGTTAATTAGATAAATAGCCTAAAATGTTTAAAGTTTATTAAATAACTGTCCGAACTGTTATTTCTCACAGTTCGAACTCTTATTTATAAATAACAGTTCTAACTGTTATTTCTAAATAACACTTTCAAGTGTAATTTTTCACAGTTTGAAACTGTTATTCAAAGATAACATTAGGAATATAACATTAGCATATTTGAAAAAAGCATTTTTTTGCGAATAATTTGATACCACACACATGGTATTTCAAGTCAAATTTTCGTTACGAACCGCAAGTTATAATTTCAAATAAAACATATGCGAAAATGTCAAAAGTTGACATATGATATGTCATTCTATTCAGAGTGACATTTTCTATCGAATAAAATAAAAAAATCCTGGGTGTGCCATTTAAAAATCAAAAGTTGTAGTCATTTCCGGTGAAACCGGAAGTGACCGAAAACAATTGAATACGTCAATTAATCCTAATTTATGTCATATACTGACATACCAAATCTCGTTTTTTTAACTAAAAAAATAAAAAAGTTATAGGGGTGAGCCAATTTTGAGACGCACCCGGTATAAGGCAAAGATTTAACTAAAATAAAAAAAATCATGTGAAAACCACGGTTTGAAAAATCAATTTTCTTATAAAACCAGGGAACTTAAGCCTATAAATATCTGCGTATTGTAAAAGTACATAAAATTTTGTATAAACGCTGAAATTTTCAAAACTCTATGACGAGAATTCGTATTTTATTTTTAGATTTTTAAACGTTCTAACATGTTCTATTCAAGAACAAGTTTTCCTGAAAGACTCTTCAAAATTAAATAACAAAAAATAAAAATACGTTTTTGGGTTAAAAAAGAAAAGTAAATAGGAAAAAGCAATTTTCTCATCATTTTCACTCTGTGATTTAGAAATAACAGTTGAACTGTTGTTCAGAAATAACATTTGTAACTGATATTTGGAAATAACAACAACTGTGAAAAATAACACTTGAAACTGTTATTCATGAACAACACTTGGAACTGATATTTAGAAATAACAGTTTCAAACTGTTTAGACTGTGAAAAATACCAATTAAAAATGTATAAATAACAGTTTTAAGTTTGGAAATAACAACAACTGTGAAAAATAACACTTGAAACTGTTATTCATGAACAACACTTGGAACTGATATTTAGAAATAACAGTTTCAAACTGTTTAGACTGTGAAAAATACCAATTAAAACTGTATAAATAACAGTTTTAAGTGGTATTTTTCACAGTTTAAACAGTTTGATGCCCACTTGCACCCTTTGTATAAACTTTGTGTAAACAGTGATTAACTATATAATATTTTATTATAGTTAATCACTGTTTAGCCTTTAAACAAAGTTTATACAAACGGTGCAAGTAGGCATGAAACTGTTATTTCTAAATATCAGTTTCAAATGTTATTTCTGAACAACCTTTCAACTGTTATTTCTAAATAACAGTTTTAAAAGTTATTTGAAAAAAAACAGTTCCTAATGTTTTTTTCTGAATAACAGTTAAAACTGACCCAAATTATTTAAAAATTTCAGTTTCAAATAGCATGTTTCTGTATTGATTTTGTTGTTAAAGCAGTCGAAATATCAAAAAGATACAAGTATATAAATAAGTTAATAGTATACGCGTGTATAGCAAAAAATTAATCATTGTTTTAGTCGCATTGTGTGGCGTTCCTTTTGGCAGATATTCACATTATCGAATGCCTGATGTTTCTGGTCATTATATTTTATTCATTTTTTTACTTTTTTTTTAAAATTGTATCTCATTATAGCCCACTAGGGTGTATTGTTTTTTGAAAAAAAATGATTTAAATGTGTTACAAAAAACATTATTTTTATATTGTAGTTTTAGCCTAAACATACAAGGTGTTCCATATGAGAATGCACACTACAGGAACCTTGTTAACCAGGAGAGATGCAAAGATAATGAAATTAGAGAAAATTTGTGCTTTTCTGAATGGGAATGTAAAATTTGTACCGCCAAATATTTTTAAATATATGTGAATATTGAAATTCAAAAAAAAAAGTAATTCCCAAATAGCCTCGAAAGTTATAATTGTATTTTTTTAGGTTTCGAAACATGAGCCCGACAAAACACAACTTTTTCCTAATTCAATCATATTTTGTATCTCTTCAGGTTTACGAGATCTCTGTGGCATGCAATCTTATTTGGGACACCATGTATATAATTTAAAGTGAATATCATAAACTAAGTAATTATATTCATACTACTCGACCACGAACCATTTTAATCACAATGTATTAACTATTTTGTATATACTTGTCCTATTATCATTCTATTTGTATATTTTGTATAAATTAAATTTAATGTAAATAATGAGCTGTGAAAATTAGAGTTAATATTAGATTAAATACATTATTATTATGAGTCGAAATTAGTAAGTAATTATAGTATTATCATTTATTTTTTAATAATAATCTCTAAAGTTTCTAGACTTTCTGAAATCTAGTCTCTAAAATCTAAGACGTAGTTTCATGGAATTTTAACGTTAACTACACGTTCAAACCATTCTATTTTGAAGCAGTTTCATATTATTTTTACTCGGAAAGTTTGGTGTAGAAAGTGTAAATACAAGTTAAGAGTTTAAGACAAAACTTTCAAGACAAGACATTCTGAGAAATATAATAGGAAGTAAATATTTCGGAGCATGACGTGGAACATTTGGTATGGCTTAGAAAATTCCCAGGGGATACTTCAACAATTTGAGCCAAATAAAGTGTTGTTTGTGTAAGTATTGTTTATTCTGTATTTTAAAGTATTTTTATAATCTGAAGAAATCATTTCCTTCCTATTATACCAGGTGTAGTAAATTGTAAAATAAAAACAAGGGAAATTGAATTTTACTAAACTGTACATACTCAAAATAAAATTATATTAGTGATAAAGAATTATTTATTTACATAAATTTATTGTATTTAAATTTCCATATTAAAGAATAGACTTATTTTACTTACCCTCTACTGGGTGTCCCAAATTCGAGAGAGACCATACGAAAGAGGTCAAATTATGGCCAAGTTTTTCAATTGAATCGACGCGACGTTTTGAAAATTAAAAAATTGCGAATACTTTTGAAGATATTGAAAACAAAACTAAATGTTGTAAAATCGTTTTTATTTTTTTCGTGGCTTAATCTAAAGAAATATTTTAAATTAAATGCCGCTTTATCAGTGTCTCTATATTTCTTTTTCTTTTTTTTTTGGACATATTTAATTTGCAAAATAACATTTTGTTGGACAAAAATTTTAGCAACTGCTTTTCTTTTATGGTTTTCGAGATTCTGATGGTTACTCTCAAATTTGGGACACTCTGTACACATTTTTAACATATTATAGATATGTAATAGTATATTGTTTTATTAGGAGCTTGAAAATTATACTTTGTGGCGAGGCTTTACATTTGACGTCACAAATTAATCCCAGTGCGTACATTTTTACTCCGAATAGAACATGCTATTTTTTTCAAAGGTCACAAATAACACAGGCCGACAAAAAAAAATTTTTTCGATGTAACACAAAGCTCAATAGGATATTGTGGTAGAATGAACCTATCTAATCACGAAAGTGGCAAAAAAAAAGTCGTAACACGTAAGGTTTTTTTGTTACATTAATAAAACATCATTCAATATTACAATATTCAATATATTAAGATAGCTATTCAAAACATGATTTAAGAACTCTTAAGCCTATATACCGATTATATTTTATAGTTTACACTCCTCAAACATTACTTATACCTAAAAAGTACAAAAACAATCGAAACGAGATCAAAACATAAACAAAAACTTTTACTTTTTCCTTTATGAGGGACCGCGTCTTCTCTCTTCAAAACCAACAGTAATCACCCATCATGGCTGGATCCCATCGTCCTTGATAACGAATTTCCATTGTCCTTATGTCTTGATGGAATCTCTCACCTTGCTCATCACTGACAGCACCCATATTTTCAGGGAAAAATGACAAATGAGAATGGAGAAAGTGAATTTTTAAAGACATTCGGGCACCAAGCGATTTATAAGCATCTAAAAGCTCATTAACCAATTGTTCGTAGTTCGCATCCTTATTGTTTCCCCTAAAAAATCCCCTCACTACACTAACAAATGAGGTCCATGCTCTGAGTTCCTGCCTGGTAAGCGTGTTGTGAAATTTGTGTCGTCCAACAATTTCCTGATTTGTGGTCCAATAAAAATACCCTCTTTCAATTTGGCATCACTCAACTGGGGAAAGACTTGCCTTAGGTATTTAAATCCATCACCTTCTTTATTCATAGCTTTCACGAAGTTTTTCATGAGGCCAAGTTTGATATGAAGAGGAGGCAGGAGGACGTCTTTGGGGTCTACAAGAGGGATATACTTGACATTTTGGGAACCCGGTTGAAATTCACTTCTTTCTGGCCAAATTTTCTGTACATAATGATGATTTACTGCACGACTGTCCCACAAACAAAGAAAACAGCAATATTTTGTAAATCCTCCCTGAAGTCCCACTAAAATTCCTATAACTTTCAAGTCCCCACATATCTGCCATTTATACCTGTTGTAGTTGATTCTATCTAAAAGCATGCGCATATTTTCATAAGTTTCCTTCATTGTCACTGAATGGGCAACTGGTATAGAGGGTTTTAAATTTCCGTTATGCAATAACACAGCTTTTAGGCTATATTTCGACGAATCTATGAATAAGCGCCACTCACAGGGAGAATGTTCTATAGAAAGTTCCTGCATTAAGCCATCGATATCAGTACATGCACACAACGAATCCTCCATACTGTAGAATGCAGAGAACGGAGCATTTCTTTTTCTAAAAGTGGTGATTTTTGTTTCATTGGCTAACAGATTCCATTCCTTAAGCCGGGATCCAAGAAGTTCTGACTGCTGCTTTGATAACCCCAAGTCACGCACTAAGTCATTCAACTCGCTTTGAACAATCAAATGTGGCTTGTCGGAACTGCCCTCTGGGGTAAAGGTAGGATCAGTACACTGGTC